ATATTGTAGTAGTATTAATACTAAATTACTCTGATTTAATTTTCAATACAATCAAAACTGAGACGCAAGACATACACATTTGAATGAAACCAGAGATTGCGTCCACGGTGATCCGAGACATGGATGTGCGCTGTGTAGTGCGTTGCTATTTACAACAGTCATTATAAGTATTCCAGTAGTTTAGTCACCCTGACCCAACCAACATATGTTGTTCATTTAAAGTGTGCGTGCGTGTGTGTGTGTGTGAGAGAGAGAGAGAGAAAGTGATTTATTATTTATTAATAATAATAATATTCAGTCATACACACATCCATAAGTGTTATTATCATTATTAATGATAGGGTTTAATGACGGGTTCATTAAAACCTGCACTAGGAAAACTTATACCTCTCACTCTCAGGGCTCCATGTTAATGTTAATATAATGTTTATGCTTAAAAAAGTGCATATAGCTGCTAGCCTGCTAATTGTATTTTTTGTTTGTTGATTTTCAAATGTTTTCAGGGTGAGCATCAGTTCTTTTTGAACATTTCCATCTCATTTTAACAAAACCGTGATAATATTGATAATCGTGATAACTTTGGTCACTATAATCGTGATATGAAATTTTCATACCGTCCCATCCCTAATGGACTAGTAAGTAAATCTTTGTAAGTTTGTGTGCATTTTATTTTGTGATTTCACCGTAATGAATAGAGAGTCTCCGCAACGGCGATAGATTGAAGAGCGCGTCCGAGTGAAGACTGCGCGCGCGCCGCCACAAGAGACACTATGCATGTATCCATGACACTGATAGCAGCGGACACGAGCGCTCAGGTTGAGTTCAAAAACACATTTTAGCGCTAGATCTCTTATTTAAAGCCACACTATGCAAGATTTGTACCTTAATATAACAGCTTCAAAGGGGTATCAGGCCGTGAGTGCAGAGACCAGTCTAGGCAGACGCTCTGTGTGAGTGGTATTTACGACAGTAATGTTAAATACAAGTACTCCACAGCGACTCTAGGGGTCGCTGTTTGACAAAAACGGAATTCCTGCATAGTGTGCCTTTAAACACCCCATGTTTTTAATCAGTGTTTGTCAGTCGTTGTACACTTGTTGTAAAGTCTCCCGTAACGTCACTGTTTGGACTACAAATATTGGCTTCTTGTTTGGATAATCCTTGTGTCTGTATGTTCATGGACTAAAGACTGCTCGGTAAACAATCCTCACCTCTCCTCGGATAGCATGAATCTGATGCATGAATTCTTCGAAAAAACCACTGCACAAAGTTACAGTTTGTTCGTATAAGATGTTCGCGCACTTAAGCCCATTTTTATATTCATCATTGTGCCTGCATCAGCTCAATGACATCATGTGAAACTCCTCCTAACCAAACTTCAATGTTATCTCACATAACAGCCCTACAATGTAAGACAAGTGTGTTGAGTGCAAGACGCCTAATCACAACTAAACCCTCCTCTGTGTACGAAACTCAAAGCTTATGATGTGCTCCCAACTCCTGTCCCAGCATGTTTGCAAGCACAACCCTATGACAGCTCGCTTTAAACCATTGAGTGTAATGCTTTTCGAACTTTAGGATAGGCCACATGAAAGACCGATGATAACTCAACCTTAGCACTAGACCTTCACGTTCAAGGGTTAAAAACAGAATGAACTGGCAGTGCCCATAGAGACAGTGTTAAAAATAAAACTGATAGGAACCTGAACAGATAACAACTTAGAAGTCTAATTTTTTTTCTTCTGATGCGTAGTAAAGTTAATGTTTGAATGAACTATGACCTGCAAATGCGTACAGTGAAAAGACGATCATAAATGGAGGAAATGTCAGTGAGCAATACGCTGAAAACGACCAAAAATCAGTTTATTGAAATAACCCGATTTACCAGTTTACGTGCAAATCAATAATCTGACAATGCAAGTAAACCGTTTACAAGACTGTATTAATAAACATGTATTTCACTCAGACAGAGTGTGCAACATACTTCAATATAATTATAGTCATGATGAAATATAAATTCTTAACACGATTATAAGGCCGTACAGAGTAAGTGCTTTTTGGGTACGTGTGGTTTCAGTTGTTCCTATATTTTTCCGTAAATTTAGAATACATTTTATTACGAAACTGTTAGTGAATCGTGATTTGTTCTTAAAATCTTTTGTAAGCACATCATCACACACACATTTGTGCGCAAGCATGCTTAATGAATGAGACCCATTATTTTTTTTACATTACGTTTTTGTCATCATTTTTGAACAAGATTAGAAAATATACACAAAAAGCGTACATTATAGCTTTTAGTTGAAAACATTAAACAATGTGTGTAACCAATAAAATATACAGGACAAATGCATCCCAGATAGCAACAAAGTCTGGGCCGAGTCTGGCTCAAGGGAGTAATCCATCGACCGGAAGTTGAAGCCGGCCGGGTGCCGCCATGTTGTAGCAGAACTTCACTTGCGTTAGCATTTCCATTGACTCCCATTCATTTTGGCGTCACTTTGACAGCGAATAACTTTACATCTGAGGCGTTTAAAGACTCCATTTGTCCATTATTTATTTCTAAAGAAACACGACAATGTATAAAGGGCTCCATTACCTTCTATGTTACATTATGGCCACGTAGAAACAGATTTAGTAAAAATAGGCTAACGATTGCGTCATAACCACTCGACTCTCTGTCGCGCTGTACAGAAATGACCGTACAGACAGGAGGAGAAGCTCACAGGCAATCGGGGGGGCGTCCCGTCAAGGGAGAAGCCCATAGATAATGAGTCCATAAAAGCAACGGAATACTTACTCCTGCTCACTCACGCCAAAAAACTCTTTGCTCAAGTTCCCCGTCTCTGCAAGATTAACGTTGGCAATTTTCACGCACAGCTACTAGAAGATTAACGTCTGTCAGACAGGTTGCTCACGTCATCAAGCTTAGTTTGAGTCGGTTTGAGTCTGCGCGTCAAGAAAGGGAGTGCTCAAAAATCGCTAAAAATGGGCTTCAACTGTCTCAACTGAGTTCCAATGAGATGGCTCTGTCCACTATGGTCTGGCTTACATTCGGCACTTCTGGCGCTGTTATTTTCAAACAGCATTAGGCTGAGCTTTGGCTGGAGTCTGGCCAACCAAACGAAACAAAGAACAAACTGTATCTGTTTGGCTGAAGCAGAGCGAACGGGTAAAAAGTTATCGTGCAGAACGTCCATATACAGTCGAGTCAGCATAATGGTTAACTTATAGTGCTTATATTGTTTCACATGTTCATGTTGGGAAAAAAAGAATATTCACATGCTCGGGTGAAAGTTGGCTCCTCAGTCTGATAACAATAATACTACCAAAACACTCCAACGCAGCCTCCATTCTTCGCGAAAGATGGATAAAAAAAACAAAAAAAAAACGGGGAACAGGGGGGGAAAAAAAACTTGAAAAAAATGATATACGACCCCGCCAAATCGCAGAGATGCCGATTCACAAAGGACTGATATCATCACAGGACATCGTGTTATATGGTATTGGTAGGTTTGCGGGGGAATTTCTACTTGACCAAGAAATGGCCGATTCGCACGGGATTAAGATCACAGACCAGGTAATACAAATCCCATGCGAATAGGGCTAATGTATCAACATGTCATGTTCGGTGCGCCTAGAGGCAGACGACGACATTCTGTGATCAAATACAATCAACTTGTTAACAAGCTTCACAGCGCGACAGTGCATTTAGCTATAACTGTGAGTTGTAGTTTGCGTGCTTAGGATTTCACTGCCTTTACGGCCAGCAAAGCAACATATGTAGCTAAAATATGTATTTTTCGAATAATAATTACAGATGAAATATTTGAATACTCGACTATTCGTGCACACCCCTACTTTTTACCCAGTCGTCCAATCACAGTGGAAGAGGGGAGTGACAAACACCACACCGATAAACCGCCACATTCTGCGTGTACACCGGCAACAGACGACAAAAACAAGCACAACAACAGAGCAAAATCATTTAAAGCAAGAGCCAAAGCAAATACTTTACATTGTATTGTCATTTTATATATAGAAACATAGGCATTTGTGCCTTGCTGCGTGTTGCAGGAAAGTAGTGTGGATGACATATCTATTGAAGAATTTCAAGATTATTATTATTTATCTGTGAATTTTTTATTTATAAAAAAAAAAGCTTTACAGAGTGATATCATATGTTGCCCATATTCCATATGGTCTTGCTCAAATCTAGCATTTTATGTATCTCACATACACACAGAAATATTTAGACACTTTTTGCATAATTTAAAATATTGCAACTTGAATGTAAATACCAATTCACTGACACTGCTGTTTTCTTGATACACTAACTTTAAAAAACAACAACAAAAAAACAGTGTTATTTACTGTGTTATGTAAAAATAATATTTTGTCACATAAAATGCTTAGTAAAACATAAAAAACGCAAGGTGCTTGTTTGGTAGTACACATTTAAGCTCTTTTATATACCCGTCATCCTCTTATCACCTGCAGGCTGGTTCACAGCAACAGTTGCGATAAAGGGCAACTCCCTCAAACACTTTCCTTGCAATATTATGACTATTGTCGGGACCAATCTAAATGGGTGTCAACACACTGTCTCCTCTGGGAATAACCGAGTCCATTCTTTCTCTGAGACACACCCTAAACCCTGCAGGTACTGCACTTGTGCTTAAACGCATAAATTGTGGTCATATCAGCATGTGCGTGCAGCTACACACACACCAGAGCCTGCCTTACAGTAAAGCTTGTTCTCCCAGCTCATCTAGCAAGCCAGAGGCATGAACAAACCTAGAGGAAAGCGTGTGTAATACAGTATCTATTACTCATGTATTCCGCGTAAAGCCATGAAAGTCAAGAGGTCAAGGGTAACTTTAGGTGTGTGTGTGTTTGTGTGCTACTGCTAACCATATAATTTCATACAAACAGTATTCAGCCTTATATGTTAGTGAATATATGCCTGTTTGTAAACATAGTACATGTTATTTTATTACCTCAGATGGATCAGGGCTCTTGACGGGACTGGATAACTGGCTGTAGACAGACGTTTGTCCATTTATGTTCTGAAAATAGAAAAAGAAAACATGAATGAATCAGGCGTCTTGAACATGTTTTGTCTTGTGCTTAAAAGTAAAAAAAAAAAAAGAAAAAAGAATTGCATTGCCCACAACTTTTTTCCATGTGGTTTTGGTGTGTCTTTATTAAAATTAGATCAAAATCTAAAAAGGTACAAGGGGAAAAGGCTAACTTTATAACTAAATTATTAACATTAACAAACATTTTAAGCTAAGTTATTATAATAATATAGGCAATATACAGTAAAGATTCATCATTTTGTATGTTTCATTTATTAGAGAGCTAGTGGTCACACTTTTTACTCCAGTGAATAAACAAACTTTGTTGATTACAAAAAACCTATTGAAGGTTTCCACCATTATTTGACAAAGAAAAAGTTAATGAACATGCACTGACCAATAGCAGGATATGTTAGGATATAAAAAGATAAAATTATAATTTTAGATTGGAAGACAGAATTCACATTTATAGATGTTTGAAACCAACATAGAGAAACATGTTTAAAACCACATAGTTACTGAGAAATAGCGTAGCCTATGTGGCCATTGTCAACTAACCCATACATCCCTTATTCACATTAAAACATTAATAACGCTCATGAATTGACATGCACTGACCCTGTAAGACAAACAGAACCTCAGATACTTTGATCTCCTGAGATATGGACACCACAAACACACACTGCCATTTGTCTCCACACCCCAACAGGGTGAAGTTGCGGGAAAGATTTTTTCCCCTCCTTTCCTTCCTTCACATTTGTTCCTTCTCCGCATTTCCTTCCCTTAACACATTCTTCTCTTCACTCGGTTCACTTACAAAGATGATATAAATTATTATAATGTTTTACACTCACCTAAAGGATTTTTAGGAACACCATACTAATACTGTGTTTGACCCCTTTCGCCTTCAGAACTGCCTTAATTCTACGTGGCATTGATTCAACAAGGTGCTGAAAGCATTCTTTAGAAATGTTGGCCCATATTGATAGGATAGCATCTTGCAGTTGATGGAGATTTGTGGGATGCACATCCAGGGCACGAAGCTCCCGTTCCACCACATCCCAAAGATGCTCTATTGGGTTGAGATCTGGTGACTGTGGGGGCCATTTTAGTACAGTGAACTCATTGTCATGTTCAAGAAACCAATAGGCTTTATGCCCAGCTGCACTACTTCCTGAACTTCAGCCAGCTCCTTGTTTCCTGTCTGACATTATTGGACAAACTGATTAACCCAGGTGTGTCTGGTATTTGTTACTGGTCAGGCACACCTGGATTAATCAGTTTGTCCAATAATGTCAGACAGGAAACAAGGAGCTGGCTGAAGTTCAGGAAGTAGTGCAGCTGTGCATAAAGCCTATTTGAAATGATTCGAGCTTTGTGACATGGTGCATTATCCTGCTGGAAGTAGCCATCAGAGGACATGGTGGCCATAAAGGGATGGACATGTTCAGAAACAATGCTCAGGTAGGGCGTGGCATTTAAACGATGCCTAATTGGCCCTTGATTTTCTTTTTTACCACTCATTTATAAACAAGCACTTTCTATTTTTATATCATGGGAACTTATCCTCGATACTATTCCTTATAAAAAACAATCGGATTGCTTTGATATCGCTACTTAGACCCAACTTTGCGAATCTCGGCTACTAGCCTTTAGTCCGCTAGCATTTCACGCGTGGCCTCGCGCCTATTGACCGTCTGATTTTACACCCGTTTCACTGAAAGGATACAGGTTATATCCAGCATTTCAGTCCTAAATTACTAGTGATATTGGTAGTATCACTACTAATCTACTGTTGTTCATGTTATGGCGAACATATCAGATGTGTGTCTAACGTTACCTCTGAGTGCAGGTGAGGACACATTCGAACTCATTTCGGTACGATTGGAGCTTGAATCGGTGGAGAAACAGATCCGCGGTCTGCTAGAGAGGCAAGCCGAGCTGCGGGATCGGCGATCAGCGCTTGAAACGTCACGCGCCGATGCACACAAGTCAGTGGTTAGTAACTTTTTGACTCCGACTTCGTCCACTCCGTGCGTTTCTCTGCCCAGGAGGACGCGATCATCTCTGGCATCATTCACTCCGGCACCAACCCAACACCATGGACCCTGGGTGATCCCACAGCGGAAGTCACGAGCCAGGACCAGAGCAAGAACCTCTCCGCCCCTCCCGGTCTTCGAGATCTCCACCCGGAACCGCTTCTCCCCTCTTCGCGAGTCGGAACGCGACGACGCCGTGATCATCGGCACTTCCATGGTCCGTCATGTCCGTGCTACCTCAGGTAAGGGTAAGGTGCGCACTCACTGCCTTCCTGGTGCTCGTGTTCTTGATGTCGCCGCACAGGTTCCCCAGATCCTGAACGGTGAAGAGCGCGTCGGAGCTGTGGTGCTTCACGCTGGAACAAACGATATCAGGCTACGGCAGACGGAGGTTCTGAAGAAGGACTACAGGAGCCTGATCGAGGCGGTACGCAGCACAGCGCCTGAGGCAACGATCATCGTGTCTGGACCGCTTCCCACGTACCGACAAGGACAGGAAAGGTTCAGTAGATTATTTGCACTAAATGAATGGTTAATGTCATTGTGTAATGAACAACAACTGCTCTTTGTAAATAATTGGAATCTGTTCTGGGAGCGACCTAGGCTCTACCGTGCTGATGGCCTGCACCCCAGCAGAATCGGAGCGGCTGTTCTGTCGGACAACATCTCCAAGACGTTACACACCGTATGACTAGAAAATCAAATTCCAAATCACAGTCTTTGCTGTGCCAATTTAATTGATATAAGTAGTGTAGAACATTATATAGAAACTGTGTCTATTCCTCGTTTAGTGAGGCCAAATAATAAATCCACTGTAGGATCTAGGAAAAATCTTATTGTAATTAAACCTGAAAATCTAAATATCAGTGAACAAAAACAATTTCTAAAACTAGGTCTTCTAAACATTAGATCGCTCACACCTAAGGCGGTTATTGTAAATGAAATGGTCACAGATAATAGCTTCGATGTACTTTGCCTTACTGAAACCTGGCTTAAACCAAACGAGTATTTCGGTCTAAATGAGTCTACCCCGCCAGGATACTGTTATAAGCATGAGCCCCGTCTGATCGGTCGTGGCGGCGGTGTTGCAACAATCTATAGAGATATTCTTAATGTAACTCAGAAAACAGGTCACAGGTTTAATTGGTTTGAAGTACTGGTGCTAAACGTTGCGCTCTTAGATGTAAGAAATAAATCCCTATTATCTCTAGCCTTGGCTACTGTATATAGACCTCCAGGGCCATATGCTGATTTCCTAAAAGAGTTTGCAGACTTTCTCTCAGATCTATTGGTCAATGCCGATAAAGCAATAATTGTTGGAGATTTTAACATACACGTAGATAACACAAACGATGCGTTAGGGACTGCGTTTACAGATTTATTAAACTCCTTTGGGGTCAAGCAGAATGTCAGTGGTCCCACTCATCGTCTAAATCATACACTAGATTTAATTATATCATACGGAACCAATCCAACCGATATAGATATTATACCGCAAAGTGACGATCTCACCGATCATCACATGGTAACTTGTATAATACGCACTGCTGAAATTTGTCATGTTGCGCCACGTTACAGACCAGGCAGAACAATCCTTCCGACCACTATAGATAGATTCTCAAATAGCTTACCTGATCTATCTCAGCTGCTCAGTGAACCCAAACAAACAGATGAACTAGAGGAAATGACCAGCAGTTTGAGCACCATTTTCTCTAGTACATTAGATATTGTTGCACCAATTAGATCAAAAAAGGTTAGAGAGAAAACTAAAGCACCATGGTACAACAGTGCTACGCATGCTATCAAGAGAGAAACTCGTAACCTAGAGCGTAAATGGAAACAAACTAATTTAGAGGTCTTTAGAATCGCGTGGAAGGACAGTATGTCACGTTATAAAAAAGCTCTAAAAGCAGCCAGGGCAGAGCATCTCCGCAAACTAATAGAAAATAACCAAAATAATCCAAGGTTTTTATTTAACACCGTGGCTAGACTAACAAATAAACAGACATCACCCGAGCAAATTATTCCGTTACAGTATAGCTGTAATGATTTTATGAACTACTTCAATGAGAAAATAAAAAGCATCCGAAACACAATTGTAAATGTACAATCCTCTATGGTGTCTTATGATTCAGCCTCAATTATCGCCCCTCAAGAACAACTACACCGCTTTACAACTATAGGACAGGAAGAGCTAAATAAACTTATCATTGCATCTAAACCAACAACATGTTTATTAGATCCAATACCAACTAAATTTCTGAAAGAAGTGTTACCTGTAGTGGAAGAGCCTCTTCTTAATATTATTAACTCGTCTTTATCTTTAGGTCATGTTCCAAAAATATTCAAGCTGGCAGTAATAAAACCTCTCATTAAGAAACCGCAATTAGATCCAAATAACTTAGCAAATTACAGACCGATTTCAAATCTTCCATTTATGTCTAAAATACTAGAAAAGACTGTGTCCGCTCAATTGTGCTCTTTCATGCAAGAAAATGAGATATATGAAAAATTTCAGTCAGGATTCAGACCGCATCATAGCACAGAAACTGCGCTAGTTAAAATTACAAATGATTTACTTTTAGCTTCTGACCAAGGCTGTATCTCAATACTAGTTCTACTCGATCTTAGTGCTGCGTTTGACACTATCGATCATAAAATACTCTTGGATCGACTACAAAACTACACTGGTGTTCAGGGACAGGCATTAAGCTGGTTCAGATCGTATTTATCAGACCGTTACCATTTTGTTTGTTTAAATGGGGAAAAATCGAAGATAACGTCAGTAGACTATGGAGTGCCGCAAGGATCGGTGTTAGGCCCTCTGCTATTCTCAATATATATGCTGCCACTTGGTAATATTATAAGAAAACATGGAATTAATTTCCACTGTTATGCTGATGACACTCAATTATATATTTCATCACGGCCAGATGAAAACACTAACTC